CACTCAAGACATCGACATTCGAAAGGACATGAGCGAGAACGAGGCTAGTGTCTTCCACGCTCTGCTTCATCCAGATGATCTCTATACTGCCGAAGGAACCTACTGGGCCGACTTGCCCATTGGCCAACGGGTCAAGTTTGTTGGACAAGTCGACGCACAGGAAGCAAAGGCCGAAGCCAGCTACTTCTGGAACATGTTCAAGAATGACCCTCTTGCTCCCATTGGCCATTACTTCCGCACTTGCGTGATTCCTGGTGCTGGTCTTGGTTTGGAAGGGTAAGTCATCTATGCACAATATTACATCATCCAGCGACATGTTCTGACTATGTTACCAGTTACGTTCTCTTCTCCATTGGCAATGTTCGCCCTCTACTCCAGGCTGCTTTCCCCGACTGCTGGGGCACTCACAAAATCTGTGACAAGACATGGACACAGGCTGTCGACTACCTCGAGATTTGCGGTATCATTGTCGGTCAGATTCTTGTTGGTATTATCGGTGACTGGCTTGGCCGTCGTTTTGGTCTCATTCAGGATGCCACCATCATGTTCGTCGGTCTTTTGATGCTTACTGCTGCCTGGGGTGTTACTCAGAACGGCTGGGTCATCTGCTACGTATGGGCTCTCTTCTTCTATGGCATCGGTGTTGGAGGCGAATACCCCATGACTGCAACTGCCGGTATGGAGAACGCTGTCGGGTCTGGAAAGGTTTCGACAAAGGACGATCGTCTTCACCGCGGACGAAAAGTTACCAGTGCCTTTTTGATGCAGGGTTGGGGTCAGTTCTTCAACCAGGTCATTCTTATCATCCTGCTCCTCATCTTCCATGGTGGATCGTCGCCGCCTTACTCCAAGACTTTGGCGCAATGGACCTACCGCGTCTCGTTTGCCATTCCTGCCGTTGGAACGCTATGGCTTGTCTACTTCCGTTACTACAAGATGAAGTCGGCCTCGAAGCAACTGATGCTTTCTAAGAAGAAATCCAATGTCACGGGATATGACGTCCAGTCGTTGAAGCTTACCTTCACATACTTTGGCCCCCGTCTCTTGGCTACTGCTGGTGCTTGGTTCGCCAACGATGTCTTCTTCTACGGCAACAAGCTTTTCCAGAACGAGTTTATCAGCATTCTCACGCCTGGCAACAAGTCGGTCATGACTGGCTGGCTATACAACCTCGTCAACGTGGGTGTATCGCTGTGCGGATACTATCTTGCATCTATTCTCATTGACAACAAGCTTTACGGCCGCAAATGGATGATGATTGTCGGCTTCTTGGCTGACTTTGTCCTCTTCATGGTTCCTGGATTTGCTCTGAAATACTTCACTTCGATCGAGAACATTCACGGTTTTCAGGCCATGTACTTCCTTTCCTCTTTCTTCAACCAATTCGGACCCAACAGTGTCACTTTCCTTGTGGCTGCCGAAGTTTTTCCCACACCAGTTCGTGCTACTGCTCACGGATTCAGTGCGGCGTGGGGCAAGCTTGGTGCACTTCTCGCTGCTATTCTCTACAACTACATTGACATCCAGACCAAGTTCTACTTTGTCCCCTGGTTTGGTCTTGCTGGTGCTCTTCTGACTCTGCTCTTCCTTCCCGACACTACTGGCCTGGATCTCAAGGAGCAAGAGCGTCGGTGGGCATACATCCGAGCTGGCCGAGAGCACGAGTATCACGGCATTGCCATTCACTGGAAGCACCTTTCATGGTGGGAGCGCTTCCGTGGACAGCACAAGGGATACGATGCCAAACTCGACTATGAGCAGAAGATTGACGAGATGCGCGCGGATTGGGTGGAGCGTCAGCAGCACAAGTTCTCCGAGAAGAACGGATGGGAAGGTGTGGAGGCAGACGAGGACGACCATGCCGATGTGCACAACTACTTCAAGCGTACAACGCCCGGTACTCCTACAGGGCCCGAGCCCATGATGGCGCCCAAGGCCGTGTCTGAGAACTCATCTGGAGATGAGATTACAAACGAAAAGAGGGCTTAGTAATGAGAAGAAGAAGAAAAAACTACGCCAGTGAAGATATAAGGGCATGTTTATGTTGAACGAAAAAGTGTAGTTTTAGGCGGTACTAACGATTTCATATTTTTTTTCTCATTACAGCATTACAGCGGCGTTTAAGAATTGGGCTTTGCGCTAGAGCGCAAATGAGATGGGTTGGTAGATTCAAACAAGCAAGAAAGTTAATGAATATACTGAATGCTATGCGACGCTGTGATGACGAGAATGCCATGCATGGTTTGGTAGGAGAAGACGTTGAATCGATAGTGTTGCAGAGTACACAAGATCCATGTGTAATGTATTGGTGGAAAGCTCAAAGGGAAGAGTGGGTTTCTTGACTTGACCATTTGCAAGAGGTAATGACGAGACCAATGCGTAAATGCGCTTTGAGTATTCCATAAATGAGGAGGGCAATTGGTAGTACCGTAGAACTAAAGAAAAAAATTCCCCCAACGGCTTTTTGTCTGAATCCGGCACTTCACCACATGTACCAAAAAAAGCCCCCCCCCCCCCAAGTGAAATAGCTTTAGTTTGTTACCATGCATTTAGGACGGATCCAGTATGGATGATTGCGGTACGCGTCCGCTGGTGCTATGCTGCTTGGCCNCCCCCCAAAAAAAAAACGGGCGCGCGCAGGGTTGGTTTGCACTACTTTACTTACCTTACTCAGTCTCTCAGCAGCAAAGGCAGGGAAAGCCATGGGCACCTGCGCCTGCACCTGCGGCTTGCAACGGGCGAGCACCAAACAACAACAAAGAAGAACCGGCCCTTTGGGTGAGCGGTGAAGAAGGGGCATGAATTGCGGCAATTACTACTGGTAACTTTGACAATTATTTTTTTCCCATTGCCGCCCGCCCGCCTCCTCTCTCCCCCCGCGACTCGCAGTCTTGCTGTTTCTCCACGATCTGCGTATTGTTTGTGTGGCTCGGACGTGCGTTGCGCAGTGACGGTTTGAGTCGAGGTGCAGGCCAAGGGTGTGTGGGCGGTGGGCAAGGGAGGGGGGGGTAGGTAAAAGGGCGCCTTGGTGTCTTTGCTCTCTCTCCATCTCCTCTCTCTACTTATCGTTATCGTGTGCGATCTGAGGGCACGGGCGCGTTGGTTGGTGCTGGCGCGAGCGATGGGAAGGAGCCGCAATACGAGAAATGCTAGTGGCAGTTTGATGTCGTAAGACGGAATTCTGTGGGAGAGACAAGAATATTCCAATGCATTCTAGAGCAAATTTTTTGTCCGGAGAAGTGAGGGAAATTAAAGTTTTTTTTTGTTTTGTTACCTGCGCGCGGGTTATGCATATGGTAAAAGGCGGGTAGGAACTGTGGTACAGGCGCAAGGGGCACAAAGTTTGCTGTGGAAAGCATAGTGAGGTTAATGCAAAGGGTCTGGACACAATTCTTTTTTTGTGTTTGTGTTTCATTGGGTTCGCTTTAGGAGAGACGAAGTCCAGGCAATAAGGGATAGTCTTTTCGATCTTGACCACCGTCTTTATGGTTCAACGTGCTATCGCTCACCGCGCAATCAACGTGTGGTCTAGATGGAGACGGGAAGCAGGGATCCAGGAGCAAGGAAAAAAAAAGCCAAGCATTGTGCAATTTCGTCAAGAATCGGAGAAGAGGCAGACGACGTCACAATCACCTCGCTATCGCAAGCAGGCGATGTGCTGCGAAGCGAGATTAGCGGTATGGGGTTGACCGCCTGCCAGTCCGGAGACGTGGTGTGACGGCCGGGGGAGGTAGCTTGGATTTAGCCGCTTTGCCCCAATGTAGGTACAGATTGCAAGATATTCTGTTTCGATAGATTGCGCGCCTGAGGAATCAATGGGCGTGATATGCGCGGCTTGCAGCAGGCCGGGGGAGGAGGGGGAGAGAGAGCAGGAGAACGGGCAAAGCATCGTTTGGGTGGTAGTGCATTGTTGGGGATCGGCATGGGACAAGCAGAGGGCGTCGGAGCGAAGGCGATTATTGAGCCAGGGGAGACAAAACGATGTGTCGCGGTGAGGCTGGTGAGCGTGGTGTGCAGCGCAAGGGGACACGCGTCGCATGTCACGGGCCCATGACGAGTCCCGAGGGCAAAAAACCAAGTGGTTGCTGGCGATGGGCCATTGACGGGCGTGGCAGCGTGGCAGCGTTGCTAAAGTTAGCCAAACGAATGACGGAGGACGCGAAACACAGCCAGGCGGGATTGCAGCAACAGTCATGCAAACACAAGGCTGCTCCACCGCCAAACCCTGTGTTATAGCGAGGCGGTGCGCAGCCAGGGCAACGATCATCGAGCGAGGAGAAAAAAATAGCGGCACTGCCCCTGGGACACTGGGTCTGCGTGCAGCGTGCCTTGGACCTGCACTTGGTGCATGGTGTTAGTGGCACCGCTGCTCGGCGGGCGGGAGGGCGTTTGCTGGCGGCGCGATAAGCAGCACCACGCGCGGCGAGAGTGGAGAGACGTGTTGCGTGGCACTGGCGACGGGCGTCGTCAGACGCCTCTTTTTTTTACGTGGACCTCGTGGTGTTTCCGACTGATGATGTGGTGCCTGGCGCAGGTGCAGAGAGGCTGGGAGGTGGTGGGCCGCCGTTGCTCTCTTCCCACCACCTGCGTTGTCGCAGTGTGCGGCCGCCCAATGGCAGACGGAGGGACGACAGGCAAAAAGAAGGCATTCGGCGCGACTCCAGCCACGGCCCAGCCGCCGACTGGGCTTGCCCAACTGCAACGGCCCACGGAACAAAGCAGCTTCAATTCTTGGAACAATGCTTGTCCATCTGCCAATCGAGCCTAAGGCCCGCGTCCGTGCGCTCTCATCCACTGTTGGGGCGGGCGTGGCGTGCCGGCCAAACACACGGGCCCCGCCTTCCTTCCCTCGCTCCTGCTCTTGCTCTCACCCAGGCAGGCGCACGGCCCGGCTCTGCTGCGGTGGGCCTCCATTGCGACACCCAGCCCAGGCAGGCGCAACCCACGCCTCGAGCAAATAAATAGATGTGCCTTTGTGCCTCCCACACCCTCTTCTCTCCTACTCTCCATCCACTCCACCATCATCAATTGCCTTGCATCGCATTCAGATCCGTCGAGTCGATCATCCAGTCGCTATCTCCATTACAGCCTCTACTCTACCATCTAATACCACCACCCACCCGTAACTCATAATCACCATGCGTTTCTCCACCATCTCCCTCGCTTTCTTGGCCGGTGCCGTCGCCGCTGCTCCTCAGGGCGACGTCCTCCCAATCAGCCAGATTTCCGACGGTCAGATCCAGGCTCCTCCTGCCACTCCCCCTGCCGTCTCTGCGCCCTCTGCCCTTCCCTCGGCCGTTCCTTCGGTTGTCCCCTCTGCCGTCTCCTCGGCCTCTGGCGTCACCGAGGTCCCCCCTCTTTCTCAGGTCTCTGTCGGTAAGTCTGCCCTAGTACTCTATAACTGCTCCACCAAGTACAGCCTGCTGACTACTCTACAAGGCACTGGCGCCGTCCCTCTCCCATCTGCCACTGCCACCGCCACCCCCGTCGCTCCTGGCACCCCTGGCACCACCCCCATTGTCATTCCTCCTGGTGGCTCCAACTCCACTGTCCCCGCTCCCTCTGGCAGCGCTGCTCAGTCAAGCGGTCCCAGTGCTAGCGCCAGCGAGTCTTCTCCTGCTGGCTCCACCGCCGGCGCCTCCAGCAGCCCTACCTCCTCCAGCACCAGCGTTCCTCAGGCTGGCGGTGCCGCCGCCGGCAACATGGTCTCCTTCGGTGGCCTTGTCCTCGCCATCGGTGCCGCCGTCTTCGCTTAAACGCATCATGAGACGACCATCACACTGCCTCCACAAACACCGACACAGCTGCAACCAGTCTGACAACAGTCGTGGCCGTAAGACATGAAGTTTTTGCGATCACAACCACTACTTTGTCATACGCTGTCGTAGCCTTGCTTGTGGAGGGTCTGCGCGACCTTTTTGCTTTCATCGTACATCAGCAATTGTTTTGTTTAGAGGCCAATCACGGAGTAACAAGTCTTTTTTTTGGAGAGCATTATTGCCATGATTGGGTTTAATTATTGAGACGACAAGGGCCTCCACTTGGGGGAGGTTCAGGATTGGCATTACGAATCCGACTTAATGCGATATGTCCCAAAGGGATACCGAACACATTTGTTCAGTTCATGTTTATAGCTGGTTAATCACCAATGCAACATGTCAAGGGCATCCGAAAGGTTGTACCTGATCTACAATTTTTCACTGTGCTTTTGTGATGGTGATAAGATGATTGTCTTGCACTGCATTGTGATGTTTGCTCATAGTAAGTGGCAAAGGGCTTGAAGGCGGGATAAACAACCATGATTCCAACTTAGTATCGCTAGCTTTTTGCCAGATCACCAAAACCGTCTTCAATCTCGTAGCTTGGAGGTTGACGGATCCTACACATGCAAGACGTTCTGCCATACCGATGCTATCGCTAAGTGAGTTGATGTGCCTGAAGATCCCAGCTCACGTGATCTGCACCAAGGACATCCGCGGCCTTGGCCACATCCAAAATCAACACAACCCCAACAGCCCCAACGGTTTCGGCCAAAATCACACTTGCAACTCATTACACCTAACGTGCCCCCATCTGCACCCGACCCCGATCTCCCTCGTAATCGCTTACTCCCTTTTCCTTCCAAGAGCCTGCCCCC